TGAAAAAGCATTCATATCCAATACTTCTTCCTATTCATGAAGAACTTTAGTAAACTGGAATATAGATGAAATATCGGAACATCAAATCTTAGATACCATGAGACATATGACTATGTATGCATCTGCATGCAAAATGGTAGGAACCCATGATCAAGAAATATCAAAAGCTATAATCTGTGGTTTTACAAGATGGTTACGTGGGTGGTGGGATTTCCATCTCCCAGAATCCATTAAAAAATAAATATTGAATAATACAAGACAATGGACTGCCAAAAATGAACAAAACCAAGATGTCCTTTATACAGAAAGTGATGCAGTCAATACACTAATTTATACTATTACTCTCCATTTTATAAGAAATACCGCTGTCTTAGCATCTAGATCCGAAGATCTTTTATCTAATTTAAGATGTCCGACTCTATCCCATTACAAACGGTATAAAGATGTATTCAATAGAAAAGTCAAAAGCAGATAAGATGGCTTGCCAGCGGGCAAAAATTTGTTTGGAAACAAGATTATGAACATCTTTTTACAAAATATCTTTTGCAGCTTTGCAATCAGTGCGTATTAAAAAGTGTTGGTTAAGAATATCACTTTGAAATTTAATTATCGTCGTAGAGAATCACTAGTTTCAAGAACGACTTTATCATAGGAAATCTAAGAAAATTATCCATTAAAGAAAGTTGGCCCGAGAGTTGAGGTTAGAGACGCTCAGACACCCAGTCTAAAGACCGTTAAGGCCAGGAGAGCCGCTGAGGTCGAAACAGACATAAGAGGTAGTCAAGGAGGACTGTCTAGATAACACTCATCCGCAACCTAATAATGGAAAATTTTATTAGAAATCTTACTGATAAAGCTGTTGGACAAACTAGTAGTACTCTAAGGATTAAGAATAAAGAAGAAATCATTATAAATGATATTGAAAACCAAATACAAAATTGGAACATACCAAAAGTACTTATATCTAATATATACAGAAAATGAACATTCGATTTAAAAATAGGTTATGCTATAAAAACTGTAGAACAGACCTTGTTTGTTACTAGTAACCAGGAAGACTTTCAACTTTTATCAAATAAAATATTACAAGAACATAAAAATAAAAATTATAAATATCTACATATTGGGTTAATACAAATAGCAATTAAACCATTAACAAGACTAAGACCTAAAAATTGTGTTCTTGTATGCCTAAGAGATACAAGATGTATTCTTTTCCCGATTATTACTGAGAGAAGATAGCCAGCTTGAACACTGGAAAGATATATATACCTTTTCCCGATTATTATTAAGAGAAGATAGCCAGCTTGAATACTGGAAATATATATATATATATATATATATATATATACACACCACTTGGT